ACAGAGGGGGCTTTTAAGGCACTCCCCAAGGGCTGCATTCCAGGTGTGCTCCAGTGGGGGTCCCAGGGCACCCCGAGGGCGTGTTGGGAGACATTCACTTCCTAGATCCCCAGGCAGACGTCTCCTTTCTGTGGATACAGAAAATGACAGCCCCCCCAGGGTGGCCTTGGAAAAGGGAGTAAAAACGGAAGCCATAACTCGTAGCACTGATGCTCTCCTGGACGTTCCACAAGCCCTGGGTGGGGGGAAGGTGGCCATCAAACCTAGAATGACAGTCTCTGGGAAGAGACTTAAGCTTAGATCTCTCCCCAAATAAATCCTGACCGCTGACCCTCGGTCACTTGATAATCCTGTCTGAAGCTTCATTTATCTTTTTTTTTTTTTTTTTTTTAAGAGAGAGTGAGAGAGGAGAGAGAGAGAGAGAGAGAGAGAGAGAGAGAGAGAGAGAGAGAGAGAATTTTTAATATTTATTTTTTAGTTCTCGGCGGACACAACATCTTTGTTGGTATGTGGTGCTGAGGATCGAACCCGGGCCGCATGCATGCCAGGCGAGCGCGCTACCGCTTGAGCCATGTCCCCAGCCCTTCATTTATCTTGAACCACAGACTGAATTGGGAATTAAAGAGATACATTCTGGGCAGGATGGTGACCCCCATTCTTCTTTCCAACGTTAAATTTAATTTTTTTTTTTTTTTTTTGACTAGGGATTGAACACAGAGGCGCTTTACCTGAGCCACATCCCATCACTTTTTATTTTTTATTTTGAGACAGAGTCTTACAGGGTTTGCCTTCAAACTTTCCATCATACTGTCTCAGCCTCCCAAGTCTCTGGGGATCGAAGGCGTGTGCCACCACGCCCAGCCTCTTAATGGTGTCTTGACGTTTGGAGGAGCGAGTCCTGAGGATTTTAGGCCCCTAGGCAGCCGTGGAGGACATTGTCCAAGGTGCCGGGCACCCGGGGCTGGGGACCCAGAAGGAGTGGTTGAGAGGTGACACCAGCAAGCCATTAAGATGATGATAATTAAGTTAAGCTGTGTGTGTAACTGCTGTGACTGGACGATGCTGGATTGAAACAGGCTGTGTATTCAGTTGTATATAGACCCCTGCTGTCCGGCAATAGGCGGCTCCTGCTGCCTCCAGCCCYGGCTACTTTTGAGTTGTGCTGAGTTCCCCTTGAGTCCTCGCAGAGTTCCTTGAGTTCTCCCCCGGAGCCCGGTTGAGGCGGAGAGAATTCCCGGGGAGTGCGCATGGAGTGCCAGAGAGAGTTCGGCAATACAAGTAGCTCCTGTTTGAACCTACAAGTGCCTCCTGGCCACTGGGTTATTTGTGCCCAGCCAGACTGCGGCACTCCCTGCCCTCAGTGGGTGGGGGCCACCATGGGAGACCCGGTCCATCAGAAGTAACCAGCGCACAGCGGCTGGGAGGCCTCTGGGTTAGAGGAGGTGATCTGGGGGGTGACCTGGGGGGTGACCTGGGAGGTGACCCGGGAGGGCGCCACCCAGCGGGGAATTCCGGTCACGCCCACGCGTGCCCAGTGGAGCGCGGGGCTGGCGGAGGGGCGGTGCCAGGGGCCGCGTGACCTGTGGAGGAAAGCGCGCGGGCCCGCAGCCCGGTCAGGCGCGGCAGGTGCGAGCCTCAGGCGGTGGACGCGCTGGTGGCCGAGGTGCGGATCCGCTGGGCAGGATGCAGAGATACCCCAGTGCGGATTTTAAGGGCTCCAGGTGTCCCTGTGGCGAGGATTCCCTCCCGGGGTACCGGATCCGTTGGGTAGGGTGCAGGGACGCGGGGTCCGGGTCTGGGGTCTCCTGGGCGCGAGGGGCCTCCAGAGGCGGTGATGCGGCATGCAGCTGCGGGTTCGCCAGGCAAGAGTCTCCCCGGGCTGGGCGTCGGCCAGGGGGACAGAGAGTCCGGCGGGTCGGGGTGCCAGGCCCGGTGGGGGCGGTGCCTGCGTCCCGAGGCGCCGGCCGCCTCTTCCTGCCGGTTCCAAGTTTCGGTTTCGCCTCGGGGTACCGGGTCCAGCCCGCCCCGCCCCCCGCTGTCTGGGCGCCCGGCGGCTGGGCTGCAGGCCTTTCCTGAGTCCCCGCCACCGACCTGGAGGTCAGCCCTCTCCCGACCGGCCCCTGCCCGGGTGCAAAGGCTGCGGCGGGAGCGCCTAGCGGAGCCGCGCGCATCTGGGCCTGCGGCTCGCCCCGCATCCTGCGCCGCCACGAGGATCAACTCCTGTAACTTTAGGAGAACGGCGGCGTCGCGGCCCCGAGCAGCTGCGCCCCAGCGCTGCGCCCTCCCAGTTTCCTGCGCAGGAGTCAAGGCCGGGGTGGCGGCTTTCAGCGCAGACCCCGCGAGTCAGCCACCCCTGCCCCCACCGGCTTTTCCTTGGTGGTGGTTGGACGGGCGCGCCTGATTTTGTCCCGGGCTGGTGACTGGCGAGAGGACGGAAGCTGAGTGGGGTGCCTGGGCCGCTCACTCTGCCTTTTGGTCCTGGGTGCAGACTTACACAATGGAGGGCTTTGGAGAGGTGTCCTGAGCCCTACTCTGGAAGTTCTGGTCTGTAGGCCAGGAGAGCACTGCATTAGACAACTTCATTCGCGTGGTGACGGGCCCAGGACACACTGCCCCAAAGTGTGACCTAGTGTTCCGCGTGACCAAGAGTTACGTTTCCCCGGGTGTTGAAGATTGACCCGAGGCAAGCGTAGAAAGCAAGTTTTATTTAAAGAATAGAACAGAGACAGATTTTTCCATCCTGCGGAGGGGGTGAATATTGTCTTTTTATTAGTTTCCAGGTTTCTTACTCCTCATGCCCCCTTCCTTCTGTCCTGCCCATGTGGGGGCAAGGGGACAATTCAGGGTACCTCTCCCCACTGTAAAGTGTCTTCCCTGAGAAGCAGGAAAGGAGCCATCCAGGGAATCCCCATTAACAAGTCCCTGCTGGGAGGCAGGTGATTTGGGGCAGCGGGTGAGGGGGTATGTCCTGAAGGTATTAACTTCATTTCCATTGACTCATCCTCCCCCTTCGTCCCAACCAGATCATCTCTCTACACTAACTGCCTAACTTTTGTTCTTGCTTCACTAGGAGGCAGAACTAGGAGGTCTGCAGCTGGTTATTCTGAAAAACCTGGAGTTGCAGAGTAGCTCTGTAGACTGTCCTTTTGTAAAAGAAATTGCCCCTGTGAAAGAAATCTGCATTAGAAAAGAGGGCTACTCCCAGGGACTTCGGAACCACCTTCATTCACATCACAGTTCCTCCCTCTTGCCCCTGTGAAAGAAATCTGCATTAGTAAAGAGGGCTGCTCCCAGAGTCTTCCACTACCTGGGAAACTGCGGAACAACCTTCATTCACATCACAGTTCCTCCCTCGCCTTCCCAGACTGTGTCCACCCCAGGAGTCCCCAAGCTCTGTCCCTTCCAGGAGCTCTGGTGCTGGGTAACAGCCAACTGACCCTTCTTCAGCTCACATTTTGTGGGTAGGTACATAATTAAATGTGCATAATTTTCCTTCTGTTAGTCTGTCTGATGTGGATTTAATTCATAGCCCAGCTAAAGAACCTAGGAGGGTAGAGGGAAGCCATTTTTTGCTTCTCTCCATGGAAAGGAGCCTTGGGGAGGGGTGTGGTAGGGAGTCACTGAAAGTGTTTGAGGAAGTGTCCAGCCCTTGGTGGTATTTTTGGTTCAGGGTGTGTGGAGGGGAGGGGGCTTGATGGGAACTGGGGCTGGGGTGAAGCACCTGGAAGAGCTGGCCCTCCGGTGCAGACCTTGGGTGAGGGGCAGGGGGCTGCAGCAGGGGAAGTCTGCATTCAGCTAGCACCTCCAGCCACTGCTTCTGCAGCTCTTTGTTGTACAACCAGCAGAAGAGGGTGGTGGAAGGGTAGGTGTGCCTTGGGATTCACAGGTTAGGCAAGAGCCCAGGCCCGCCATCTTGAACTTGGCCTGGAGTGGCTGTGACCCCCTTCCTACTTGGATGCCACCTGGTCAAGGAGAGGAGTGGGCCTCCATAGATGGCAGTGTCCCAGAGTTATTGGGAACCCCAACCCCAGCTCATTAGACCTGGGCTACCCAGCTTGGGCTGGCCTGTGTAGGAGGCACTGCTCAGCCAGAGGTGACCATGGCCACTAGCACCTCTCTAGTGTTGTCAAGTTGTCCCTGTATGACTCACCCATCCCTCACCTGTTCTTCGGGCTACTGTGGGGCAGGTGTCTTGTCCCTTCTCTCAGGGGAGCAAGATGAGGCACCCTGGCACCTCTGGCAGGCAGTGGCACCCCGGCCCCAGGTTGACTTTCCAAGCAGTTCTGCAGGCTGCCAGGGGCTGCCTGTGTCCGTGGGTTCAGGGTCCTGCCCCGGCTGCAGCTGCACCGGAGTCCCCGGCCTGCCTCCCCCAAGTTCTCAGGGGTTGTCTGGAGAAGCTGGCCGAAGCCTTGCTGGGTGGTAGCCAGGCAGGGGGGAGCTGCTACCGGATGGAGAGGATCCTGGGTAGAGTGGGACTTGGGATGGAGCAGTGGCTGTTGCCGAAAGCTCGGTCCTTGTCCCTGATTCCAACCCAATAACGGGGACATGGATTTGAGAATAAAGAAAAAGAAGGCTTATTGCTTTGATAGAGAAGGAGAAGCAGGGGACTCCTGTCCCAAAGGCTGTGATTCTGCCCATCAGCAGGAACAGGGGTATTGTGTAGAGGTGATGCAGAGAAGTGAGATTAGGGAKGAGAGATCTGGGAGGAGAAACCCAGGGGAAAGAAAATCAGGAAGGAGAGGTTAGGGATAAAGGGAAAAAATGTGTAAGTTTCAACGCCAAGGGATGTAGTCAGAGCGTCCAGTGGAGCCCTGCTGCAGGGCTAGCTTCAGGGACACACTGCTGTCCGGCTTTGATTGACCAGGGGACCTTTCTGGTTACAGCATTCCACCTTCTCAGAAAATGAAACTGAAATGGATTGTGGTCACATGACAGGAGGCACGGTTTATAGTGGCTGCCTTGAGGACTTTTGCTCTCCTTTTCAGACCTGCAGGGGAAGGGGCTCGGGCTGGAGAAGTCTCCAGTCAGAGGCATGGAGTGTCCTCAGTGCCAGCATGTCTCCCAGGAGGAGGCCCCCAAGTTCTGCAGCCAGTGTGGAMAGAGGCTGCCTCCTGCAACCCCCAGACCAGGCAAGTCTCAGGGGTGCTGGGGTCAAGTGGGGAGGGGGGGGCAGCTGTGCCTTCCAGGCCCACGGGAACTGGGCCAGCAGGCAGCCTCAGCCGGCCGCCCCTCCCTGGCAGAACTCTGGGGGGGGCGCTCCCCCCCCCATGCTTTGTGAAATTCTTGCTGGAATCACCTTCCTTTGAGGGAACTGGGGTTTCGTCTGCCTTGGGGATAAGAACCTCTGGCTGAGCTAAAGGGCCCTGGACCTTCCAGAGCACATCCGCGAGGTGTCTGAGGCTGCGGGAGGGGGAAGAYTCTGTGGGTTTGCAATTCCGTGGGAGGGGTCCGTGCAGGTCCGTGCAGCTTGCCCAGGTTGATAGTGGAGGGACAGGAGGAGACAAGTGTCAGATAGGCCTTCTCTGCTGAGGGCAGGGAGACAGAGACATCTCCCTTGCTCCTACCCCACTGCCCTGGAGCCTGTGGGGGCACAGAGCTTCCAGAGGGCTGCACGGATCTCCCCCATCGCAAGGGAGGCTAAGGCAGGAGGATCCCGAGTTCAAAGCCAGCCTCAGCAACAGCGAGGTSCTAAGCAATTCAGTGAGACCCTGTCTCTACAGTACAAAAGAGGGCTGGGGGTGTGGCTTGAGTGCCCCAGAGTTCAATTCCCAGTACCAAAAAAACAAAACAAAACAAAAAACAACCAAACAAAAAAAATTGATTACTGGACAGGACAGGGTGGTCTATGATGGTGGCCAGGAAGGACAGTGGGCAGGTAGAGCCCCTGGGGGGCTTCATTTAGTCTCCATCCCTTTGGGAAGTGGAGACCCGGTAATAGCGGTCCACTTTACCTTTTGAAGGTAGCCCTTGCTGCGTATTTTATTTATTTGCTTATTTTATATCAGAATATTTTTTTAAAGAGAGAGATTTTTTAATATTTATTCTTTAGTTCTCGGCGAACACAACATCTTTGTTGGTATGTGGTGCTGAGGAATGAACCCAGGCCGCACGCATGCCAGGCGAGCGGGCTACCGCTTGAGCCACATCCCCAGCCCGATTGCTGGGTATTTTAAAAGGGAGATGTTTTTCCTTTTCCTCTTCTCCTTCTCCCCCTCCCTAACTTGGGGGCTGGGAACCAGATTACCCCGTGTTACTGGCTTTCCTGGGGACAGAGGTGACTATCTCCCAAATTAACATGCCAAGCCTAACTCCCCAGGGGCCCTCGCAGGCCCTCCCCCGCCCCTCCCCCCAGGTACACCTGGAGTGTAGCCTCTGAAGAGCTGGAAAGGCCCTGTTTTCCCTGAGGCGCAGAATCCCAGCCTCTGGGACCCGAGCCCAAGCCCCCGCCCCCATTTCTCTGCTGGCAAAGCAACAAACCTTTTTCCTTTTTCTCAAAACGGTGTCCTCATTATTAAATTGGCAAGAACTGGCATCAGGGACAAGGACCGATGAATAACCCCATGTTCATCATGCTGCAGGGCCTCCCTGAAGGGTCTCTGGCCCTCTTTTCATTTTGGGTGAGGGACGGGGACGGCAGAGGGCATCAGAGCCACTTGCCAACAGCACAGAGGGGGATCTGCCGGGGCACGGCAGGGCCAGTGGCCTTTCACCAAACGCCAATGATGCTTCTCCGGGTGAGTCCTGTCGGGGAGGCGGATGAGACTCCAGACTCTGCCCCACCTCCGGTTTCTGAGGACGTTTATAGGCTGTCTGGTGCCATAAGATTCCTAGTCTCCACGACTGTGGCCGAGCGCCGGGTTTCTAGTGATCCCAGAAGCGGGAGAAGGGGAAGGACTGGCTCTTCTTTCAAGGTCTTTCCTAGATCTCTGGCCTTGGCCTGAGCTGTCCCAGAGGCCTTTTCACTTCAAAGGAGCGTTAGATTCCCGAGGAAGTTCTTTACAATCCAAAGGTAGGGGTGCAGGGTGTTAGGTRTTAATCAGGTTCCTTGAGGTGGGCAGAGTAGACGGGGAGGGGACATCTCCCTTGCCCAGGCACTAATTATCAGGACAGTGGACAGTGTTCCTTTTTTTTTTTTTAATACTTTTTTAGTTGTATGTGGACACAATATCTTTATTTATTTTATGTGGTGCTGAGGATCGAACCCAGAGTCTCTCACGTGGGCGGCAAGTGCTCTACCACTGAGCCCCAGCCCCCCAGGACAGTGTCCGTGTAGTTTATTTTACATCAACCAGTTACACTTATTAGATATGGAAAATGACAGCCCCCCCATCAGGGTGGCCCGGGAGGAGGAGTAAAAACAGAAGCCATAACTCACAGTACCGATGCCTCCCAATGTTACCGCTGTTGGTATGTGGTGCTGAGGATCGAACCCGGGCCGCACACATGCCAGGCCAGCGCGCTACCGCTTGAGCCACATCCCCAGCCCTGACTACCTAATTTTAAATCTGGCTTCACCAGTATGTTCCACAAGCCCTGGGGGGAAGGTGGCCAGCAAACCTAGAACGACAGTCTCTCCCCAAATAAATCCTGGGCGCTGACCCTCAGCCCTCCATCTTGCCCAGTAAAAACAAAAGACCCCAATTCCTGAGGCCCACACAAGCCCAGCCCCCTCCTTGGTCCAGTGGCTCAAATGTGGGTCCCTGGGAGGCGTCACCCTGTTCCTGAATGATCCCTGAGGTGTGTGCCTGGCCCCGCCCTTCCTGCAGGCTGGCTGGGCTCCCTGGTGCCCTGTGGTTAACTGTTTACAAGAATAGAAACTGAAACTGCCCCCCCCCCCCCAGGCTCAGTGCTGCGGGGGGCAGGATTCCAGGAGTCCTGGGGCTACCCTGGGTACCTGTGCTCTCCCCAGGGATGCAGGCCTGGGGACACCTTGGGGTCTCTGCCCAGAGTGGGTGGGTGGGGGGCTTGGAGAGCTGTGGGCCAGCCCTCCCTGCCCCAGGTCCCCGCCCCAGGGACCATGCTGGGAGGCTCCTGGGGAGGCGCCCTGGAGCCGGTCTCCTTTTTATTCTGCTTTCCTGGAGGAAGCATCTCTGAGGGAGGCAGTGTGCCCAGTATTGCCAGAGAGGCAGGGGTGCTGTGGGTTCCCCGTGGGGTAGCAGCCTTGCTTCTGGGGCCCRGGGTGGGGGGTGGGGGGTGGTGGGTTCCCCCAGCCCCTGGCTTGGATGGGTGAGACCCTGGCTAACCAGGGCGAAGGCTAGGTCACGAGGCCCCTGTGAGGCCTCCCAGGGGGCTGCAGTGGAGGCCCAGCCTGGGTTGACTCTGACCTGACCTCAGTGACATGGGCCCCACAGGTGGGAGGGACCCCCAGGGTGGGAAGAGGCCTGGGCAGAGGCATCTGGCATCTGCTTTTGCTTCCCTCTGGGTTGGAGAAGCCTGCTGCGCTGTCCCCTGGTGTGTCTGCTTTTGAAGGGTAACAAGATTAGGATAACCTGCCTTTGGCATTTGATCTCTTATAGTGGAGCATTGGGGCGTGGTCCTGCTTGTCTAGCATCCATGAGTGGGTGTGTGCTTCACACGATTCTTTTCTGGTCCTGGGGATTGAACCCCAGGGCGCTTAACCACTGAGCCACATCCCCAGCCCTTTTATTTTTTATTTTTGGTGGTGCTGGGGACTGAACCCAGGGTCTTGTACGTGCCCGGCAAACACCCTTACCAACCGAGCTGTATCCCCAGAGCCCCAGCCCTTTTTATGTTTTGAGACAGGGCCTCACCAAGTTGCTGAGGCTGGCTTTGAACCTGTGATCCTTCTGGCTCAGCCTCCTCTGGCTGGGATTACAGGGGTGCACCACCACACCTGTCTCTTCTGCACATTCCTAAGAAAATTGGTGTGCTCAGCAGCCCGGAGCGCTCTACCCTGGCAGGGCCTGCTGCTGCGAGGCACCTGGCCTGGACACTCGTTCACCTGCAGCCGCCCCGCCGCCTCCCTAGGCAGGTTTCCCAGCCAGTCTGTCTGGAGGACACGCTGCCCCCAGGACTGGCGTGCTTCCCGGGGCCACCTCTGCCAGCCCCCCCACTCCCGCTGCCCTGGCTGCAGTGTGCCCAGGGCTTTGTCTCCGCTCACACCCTCCCCAGTGCTGGGGGTGCTTGTCTTGCTCATGGTCCAGTGGGATGGGCGGAAGTGGCACCTGTGGTCCAGTTAGGATCTCCATCAGCAGGGAAGCCGGGCATCTTTGGGGAAATGAGATGGCCGCTGTATCTCGTTCTGTTTGAACTGGCTGTTGGGRTGTACAGTCCCTGGGGCTGTTGGTGTTGGAGGATCCAGGAAGCCAGGGCCTGGTGGCAGGGATTGGGTGTGCCTGGGGCTCGCGCTCCTTTCTCTGGTCCTGGCAGCACTGCTCTTCTGCATGTGTTGGCTTTGTCCTCGGGCTGGAGGCAGCACTGGACACCAGGGTCCAAATCCAGCCCACCATGGTGGACCCCGGGGCGGGGTGCCCAGCTCCACAGGGAGCCCTGGAGCCTCCCTGAGACCTCCCCTTCAGCCAGGGCAGATCACAGGTTCTCACTGGATGAGGTTCAGCAGAGCCCATTCACCTGGCATAGCAGGAGGGAGGCCCCTCCTGGGCAAAGGGACGTGGTCTGCAGCTGTGGCACGTGGCAGATCTTTATCCAACTGTAGCTTTGTAGTAATGTGTTGTGTGTAGGCAGTTGGAGGGCCTGGTACGGGGGCCGAGTCCTGCCTGTGGGCCTGGTACAGGGGCCGAGTCCTGCCTGTGGGCTTGGTACAGGGCCTAGTCCTGCCTGTGAGCCTGGTACAGGGCCTAGTCCTGCCT